GTATCACAGCTCATATGTATATGTGTGTCCTTGTGTATATGCACAATATATATATATATATATATATAGATAGATAGATAGATAGATAGATAGATAGATAGATTGACACACACACACACACACACACACACACACACACACACATATATATATATATATATATATATATATTTGGTTGGATAGATGTGAGTTTGTGACCCTGGGTTTCACGCTTCAGCGATCGTCAGACAAACTGATTAATGTTAGCTCTATCTCTGATATTGAGCGCTTTCTAATAAGTACCGCGCATATAATATATAAATAATTATACATATATATATATATTTATTTATATTTATATTCACTTTTCATATATATATATATATATATATATATATATATATATATATATATATATATATGATTCATCACCATATATGTCACGCTACAAAATCTTTCTTTAGAATACTGGATGCTATCAATTTCTTTCAGCGAATTGCCATATGCAAATGTATGGCACAAGTTCATGGGGCTCCTTCTTTTTTTTGCTAAAAATTGGTGGACAATACAGTAAAATTCTTCCACTCTCGTTACAGAATTCCATTTATAAATCTGGAATAACTTTTCAGCATTGGACGACACGCCACTATCAATAAAATATTTCAACCGACGCAGACCCGTATGAAATTTCATTTTTATCACCAGACACTGTCATCTTTTTGCGCAGTTATCGCATGGGAACTCAGCTTCATATAAAACTTTGCACAGATCCGCATGCGTTAAGACTTCAATTATTACAGTAGTATTCATTAGACCTTCAATAGAATCTCAGCTTTATTTTCTGACTATCTCCCAATTTCTGACTTATTTCCTTGGAATCAACCATCAATGGGCGAAAATATAGGAAACAGACAAAATAATTATTAAAGAAATATATTTCAATATCCGTTATAAGCTAACAAGTAAGTTTATGCATGAAAATATTTACTCCCTATGTCCTAATAATAGGCGTTATTTACAAAGATTGGCATAAGTCCACAAGTATTTTGCTCTCTACTCTTCCGCGGAGTCGGCATTTCAAATCTTCGAATGCATCTCCGAGTAGTTCAAGGTTTGTCATCACAAAAACATTTACACATTACGTCGCTAATGCAAGGGAATTAACTACAGCACAGACATACAATCGTAACAAACAAAACACACTTTTGCGTTTTATATATTGGAATTTGCAGGTAGCGTAGCGATTATTGGCGCGAAAATTGGTGGATTTCAAATTCCACTGTAGTCTCTTTTGTTCTCTTTCGCGCTATTTTCTTTTTGAAAATTATGAGACCACATCTTCTGCCAATAGGAATCACTTCCTTACATCTATATCGTAGCGACATGTCTGACTGCAATAGACGTCTCTTTGTCTCTGAGCGTAAGCATGTCCTCAATGAAGCAATGTCACTATTTGCTGCTCGAATGAAAGAACGGATTGCATCTCGCAAATTCGGCTCCAAGGATTACTGGCGTCTCTGCAAGAGCGTACTTAACAATAGCAAACCCTCTATACCTCCTTTGTTCAACAAGTCCGAGGTTCTGACCTCTTCTGCCGACAAGACCGAATGCTTTGCTCGGAAATTCTCATTTAATTCAACGCTCGACTCTTCCGATTTCCCCCTTAGAACTGAGGCTCAATTGAGCGAGGTTCACATAACCCCGTCATTGGTATTATCTCTAAATTAGACCCCCACAAGGCTAGCGGTGGAGATGGGATACCAGCCATTGTCCTGAAGAAATGTGCACATGAACTGGCCCCTGCCCTCTCCAAATTATAACTACTGCCTCAATGACTCTTGTTTTCCAGCAAGATGGAAGTCCTCATCCATTGTTTCTATCTTTATGAAATCCGGAGACCCTTTTGACCCTTCTAATTACCCTCCTAGCAGTTTCCCTCCACTCTTCGGCAAAGTCTTCGAAGCTTTAATCAACGCCGAAGTGGTTAAGAACTTTACATCCCATGATCTGCTCTCCGACAAGCAATATGGTTTCCGCTTTGCCCGTTCTACAGCTGATGTGCTTACGGCCATCTCTGAAATTGTTTACCAAGCTCTTCATAATAACGGAGAAGCTCATGCCGTGGCTCTAGATATCTCCAAAGCGTTTGATAGGGTTTGGTATGCCGGCCTTCTTTGCAAGCTTCAGGGTTATGGAATTTCAGGTCGATTGTTTGACTTAATACAATCATTCCTGTCAAAACCGTGTATTGAAGGTCATTCTCAACGGATTCTCCTCCAGCTCCCATCCCACGAACGCAGGTGTTCCCCAAGACTCCACCCTAGGCCCTACTTTGTCCCTTATTTTCATTAACGATCATAGCTTCCCAAGTAGGCATCTATGCGGACGACACTAATATTTACTCCTGCCTCAATCTAGTGTCGCTAACAAATCTAACCTGGCCGTTTGTGTCGAAAATGACCTCCAATCCGTTGTGAACTGGAGCAGGAATTGACTGGTTAACTTTAATGCCTCAAAAACAAAACTGCCTTCTATTACTTACCAAAAAGAACCATCGCTGTCCCCCATTAGAATGTCTGACGCTCAACTCCACGAGAGCTCCTCTTTTCGACTGCTCGGTCTCACATTGACTGCTGACCTGAGATGGAACGAATAGCTTCGTCCACCGCATGGAAATTTTTTTCTCGGCGTAGCCGATCCTTCAAATCTACAAAACGACCATTCGCCCTTGCAAGAAGTATTGCTGTCATATATGGTCTAGAGCCCTTTCTGTTTGCCTCGGGGTTCTTGATTAGATCCAGAGTCGGATATGCAATGTAATTGGCCCTGATCTGGCATCTCATCTGCAGTTGCTCTCTCACAGACGTGTCTCCCTCTGTCTTTTTTTACAAATACTTTCACTGTAACTGCTCTGATGACCTGCTTTCGCTGGTTCCCAGACTCCATGAATTTAAGCGTTCAACTAGGCTGGCATCCCGCTCTCACCCTTTCACTGTCGAAACTGTCAAATGTTGCCGTCTCTTCTATTCCAATAGCTTCATGTCTTGCACATCTTGCCTGTGGAACTCTCTCCCTTTTCCTGTTCCTCTAACAGCTATAATCTCCAACTATTCAAATGTAATGCCAATCGACGTCGCCAGATGTCTTGGTCTATCTCCTATCCTTCTCTTCATAATTTCCTCCATCACTCCTCTACTCTCGCTCCAACTCTCTGTAACCCCTTGCATGCTAGCGGCTTCCCGCCTTGCTCGGGGTGAAACGCTTAAAAACAAAAGTTAAATTGTAGGTTAGACAGAACGCTGTAGACTTGGGTATATGGAAAAAAATGCTGAATTGCAACTCTAGAGAGGAAAACGGAAAATGTCACAAAACAGAATGATCAACTCATCATCAAATAAAGGAACACGTTTTGGGAGAATATTTTTTAAATATGAGCATGCATCAGAACTTCATGTTTAGAGGAGCAGTCATTAGACCTTCATTCTTAAATCAGCTTTCATTAGACCTTCATTTTTAAATTAACATTCATGAAATGTCATTCTTAAATTAACATTCATTAGACATTCATTCTTAAATTAATATTCATTCGACATTCATTCTTAAATAACCATTCATTGGACCTTCATTTTTAAATTAGCATAAAACAGAACTTTCTCTTGCCACGGGATTTATCAGAATCAATTTTATATCATTTCTGAAGAAATAAAGGTCCGAAGTTAAGCAACGTTGAGCCTGGTCAGTACCTCGATGGGTGACCATTTGGGAATACCAGCTTGGATGTGCAGGTGGTGTATTGGATAACGGCTCGGATTTGAAAATCTTAGAGCAGTGTTCCAAATCTAGAGGTTCATTACATTCACTTACGCATAAATACCATTCAGGAACGTTTGAATCTACCACTTACAATCAGGCATGAACTTATACCCGTAAACGATTATTATATCCCAAAATTATTAAAATCTAAAAATATTTTCTGGCTTTAAATGACCTGAAAAAAGTTGATAAACCGTAGAAAAATAAACCAATCAAAATAAATCGGCCCCCGACTTATTAAAGGATTATCTGTGCATTGTTTTTTTTATTTACAGATATCAAGTTTGCAACTGAGCCTACGACATTGATATCTGCATACTATTACGAATTGCAAAAAAAAGGACGACAACAGTAATGCACCGTTAACAATGACGTAATCTAAAATGTCAAAATTAGCATTTTTTTTAATTGTTATCACCCCATGCAAGACAGTAAAGCCACTAAGACACAAGGGGTTACAGGGGGTGGAAGAATTAGGAACAGAACCATTAATAACGACGGGGGCGGGGAAAGAGGAGGATAGTAGATAGTGACTGCCACTGCATTTAATTTTTTGCAGATTAATGTTGGCTGGAAAGCATGGAACCGGAAAGTAGTTCCACAAGTGAGAAGTGCGAGAAAAGAAACCGTTAGCATAGAACTTACACCTAGATGTAACCATAAGTTCTATGCTAACAATTTCTTTCGTCCTCTATCCATGTATGATAATAACTCTTAAGTATTAGTCTATGCTTGCCAACTCAACTGTAAATTGATGAGATCTCGACGCCATCTTTGTACTGTGCTTAAACTCATAAGGTCTAGGTATCAACGCGAAGAGCTCATCTGAACAATTACCATGAAAATATTTCTAGAAAAGACACAGGGAGTCAATCTTACGACGATGGGTAGGTGACTGGAGCCGAGCTGCCAGATCAGGACCGATAATATTGATGATTTTTCTTTGGATCTTATCAACTAGCACAAGGTAAATAGCAGGGCCACCAGAAGTCATGGATTGATCTAACATTTATTTATTTATTCTGAACAGTAACCCCCTTTTAAAATAATAAGTATCCTTATATTTCGACTCTGAAAGATGTCGATAAAGGAATATAAATCTATAAATATTTCCCTGTTTTTTTGTTGTTTTTTCCACGAGCGGAACGATCGAATTTCATTCGTACCAGGGGTTCAAGCCACTGTATCTCTGGTTTACAGTCACATCCCGTTAAAACACCAGTTTCTGTACGATTAGCGAAGTTAAACAACGTCGAGCTTGGTCAATACCTAGGTGGGTGACCGCTTGGGAATGCCAGGGACTGTAAGCTTGGATGTGCGGTTGGTGTAGTGGATAATAGGTCGGAATTGTTAATCGGAGGTCTGTGTTCCAAGTCACGTTTTTTTTTTTTTTTTTTTTTGCTTTTTTTTATTTATTTATATAAAATTACCTGTAAATACTCTTGAGGAAGGCTATTTTTTTTTTTTTTTGCAGTGTTACATTTTTTACAAGACACGGGGCCACTCGAAGTAGAGGGTTAATTTAAGGGGTAGCTTATATGGATAGAAGTGGGGATAGAGTTAACTTTAGACATGAACAAGTTAAGATTTTAGTGATCGGGGAAAAATCCCCTTGGGAGTCTGTTCCACAGAGCAGTGGTTCACGGGAAGAAGCTGTCCGAGTGGAACTTACTTCTCACCGAAAGAATACTTAGGGAAGGTGGGTGGTTTGCTACTCTGTAAGTATCATAACGGGTCCTAGCCATGAAATTTAAAACTCGCGGAACCAAGGAATGCGTCCAAGCACTTTCCATGGAATTGACGATAGCGCAGTAGAATCTCGCGACATCTCGCCTGTGAGAGAGAGGTTGAAGGGTGGAAAATAATTCTTCTCCAACAAGATGAACCTCTTCTGCCCCACCACATATGGGTTAACTAATAAGACTTCATTACCTATATTATCTAAAAAAAAAAAAAAAGTTATATTTTTTTCTGCCTTTGAATAACCTGCAAAAGGTTGATAAGCCGTAGAAAACGAATCAGACAAGCTACTGTATTTCTCTGGATGTCATATCAATACACGGATAATGAAAAATAGGAATTATGTTGAGAATCAGGTTTGCCTAAGTGCTGACATGACGTTTAAAAATATATATTTATATATTAATTTTTTTTTTTTCCGGTATGGGTTGAGAAATTATCAAACAAGACGCTGATAGACAGACTAGACCACACTGATAAAAAAAAAAAATCCACCCATGAAAATGGTAGCCGTATTTATTTGCACAGTCACACACGCGCTCACACGAGCCTTTTGAGAAAAGAGTAAGGCGGAGAGAATCGAGAAATAAACGATAGTCATGGTCACGTTAACATACAAAAAAATAAAAGAGTGATACTGAACTTTTAGGTCATTGCTAGAGAAATACAGTAAACATCCTTTTCTACGTCGATAGGTTCTTAGCGAAGAAGTGGGAAAAGAAAAATATTTGAGAGCTGACAATATAGAGCTCTTTCACCTGTAGTAATCAGAAGGTGAGGGGAAGTAAAACAGCTGCAATCTTCACTCTCCACCCCCTGCACACACACACACACACAACCATACTTACGCATCTAACCGCTTTCTTTATGCTATGAGTGGTAAAGTTAGTCGTCGGGACGTGTGGAGAGGGAAGAGAGATTTCTTTGGCGTCTTGTTTACACATTAGCAGCTTTTGTAAAAGTGTTTACTATTTCGTTAAAAAAAAAAAAAAAGAAAGAAAAGAGGGTGAAAATAAAGAATCCCCCCCTTTATCCATGTATGATAATAACTTTGAAATATTAGTCTATGCTTGTGAGGTTTGAAGCAGTATTCTTTTTTTAATGATTCACCCCCAAGAAAGGAAATAAAGCCACTCAGACGTAAAAGGTTACTGAGTGTCAGAGAATATGAAAAAACACTATAAATGAAAGGGAACAATAAAGAAATAACACAGAATATAAGATTGATTTATATTTCTGAAAAATCAAACTTGACTAGAAAGCCAATATATATATATATATATATATTTCGATAAACGTGCAATCAATTTACAAATTCATGAATTATTCACACAAAAACAAATGCAAAGGTTAATGATTTAATTGGCGAGAAATCCATCGTCGCAAACAATACATATATTTTCGTTGTCCTCTTATTACTAAGAGAAAAAACAAGAACAACATCTATTCCATACCTGAAGATGTCTGTAGGAACAGACGAAAGCTTGTAGTAAAAATAAGAACTAATGCGGCAGAAATTTATAGAAACAAGGATCTTTTCATTCATAACGGATTTGGAGGTTTTGTATATTATTTGAATTGTTTGCGACGATGGATTTCTCGCCAATTAAATCATTAACCTTTGCATTTGTTTTTGTGCGAATAATTATATATATATATATATATATATATATATATATATATATATTGGCTATCTAGTCAAGTTTGATTTTCCACATGAAAAAACACTATGAATGAAAGGGGACAATAAAGGAAAAATACAGAATATAATGCATTTAAATTTTTGAAAAATCAAAAAATGCCATATATATATATATATATATATATATATATGGCATTTTAATATGAATCATGTTTATTTTAAACGCTTTAATCTATTCATTTCAAATGAAAAGTGACGAGGTTTTGTCGCCAATCTAGTACTGCACTTAAATTCATAAAGTCTAGCTACCATAGATTTTCAAAACTAGGACCCACTCTAGAAAGTACACGATGTCGACTAATCCCTTGAAGGGTGGAGAATAATTTCTCCCGCACGAGGACGCGAAGATGCTTTTGGGCTCTATCGTGACTGGGAAGTGTAGACTGGACAGCTCCTGCCTAAATATGGGAAGAGTACCCAGTTTTAGGGCTGATCTAGCCCTTGTAAAGGTAAAGGATAGCAAGAGGAATGTTACTTACTGGAACCGTATGAGATCGATTACTTTCTATCTTCTTTACTGATGGATTGTAGTTAAGAGCTGTACGAGGTATGGGTTGAGTTCAAGGCCCGATCCTCATAATGTTCTTACACCCTCTCTACACAACGTCATTTCGTAATTCTCTAGTTTAACTGGCTCTTTTGCCTTGTACTGCGTCAATAATAGCAAAAAAATCTGAAGCTCATACAGTATATTCATTAAATAAGTAAATACTGAACATTGTTTTGTGGACTCTCTATATTTCTGAGATGAGGTATTGGAACTATTTACACTATTTACATTGTTCGGACTATTGTCTTCATCTTTATTGCCATATTCACCTTCAAAATCTGTCTCTATTTAAGAGGTGAGGTATTGTAACTATTCACACTATTTACATTGTTTGGACTGTTGTCCTCATCTTTATTTCCATATTCACCTTCAACATCTGTCTCTATTTCTGAGATGAGGTATTGTAACTATTTACACTATTTACATTGTTTAGATTGTTGTTCCCATCTTTATTGCCATAATCACCTTCAACATCTGTCTCTAATTCTGAGATGTGGTATTGTAAATATTTACATTGTTCGGACTGTTGACCTCATCGCCGTTTGCCATATTCACTACGTTTCGGCCGTTGTAAGCTCCAGCCTTCTTCAGGTGATTGGTATTTCGTAAATTTAAATTACATAACGGTCAGTCTATACCCAGCACCTCTATGCTATCGATGAAGAATAATATGTATATTTTTAATATAAACTTAATAGATAAGAGCGCTGCATTTTTAACACCACCATTATATCTGCGACATATATATATATATATATATATATATATATATATATATATATATATATATATATATACTTTAAAAATCAGGAGGTCAGTTGAATCCGCCATTTTGGTTTCAACCTTACAGTATCGTCAGGCGATTTTATTTAAAGCACCTAAGACTTACTTGCTTGAATGACGACCAATGATTGTACTATTTACTTTTGAATGTACCTTCTGTACATCCTATGTACATTTTATTTTGGCCATTAATATCTGTTACCTCTGCTTTGTAGATTATTGCTTCTGTTTTAAAGCACCAGACACGTAAATTAAAAGTATAGACGAGATGGCGAAAAATATGGCAACTAAACTAGGGATAAGCGTCCACATATTAATCGGCACGCTATGCATTTCTGACCATAGAGGATTGTTATGGTCCGGTTCCTTGTACCACTGTGATAGTCCAAGGTAGGACCAATAAAGACGAACTCGAATACGGATATGGAATAACACAGATATATTACAAACAGGAATATATACAGAGAGGTAGAAAGTGTTAGTACGAACAATCAGGTTTAGTAGAGAGAACAATGTAGTCTCGACCAGTATCACTATACCAATGTCTTGCAGTAATTGTCTGAAACGCGACTCTGTTTCGGACTGCCCGTGTCTCGACTGACTGACTCGCTTGCTCTGACTGACTGACAGACTTCTGATGGACTTCACTCCAGACTTCAGACTGAACTCATATATATATATATATATATATATATATATATATATATATATATAGATAGATAGATAGATAGATAGATAGATAGAAACTGCGATTTTTATAAATATTATCCTAAATCGGCAGAAAAAAGACGGTGATAAATATGGATAGACTTTCGGTAGATAGATAGATTGATAGATAGATAGATATACAGGGTAATTTCAAAATAACTCCCGATTTTATATATGCGTGGCCAGCCAGGGGTATGTATATTTATTAATGTTATGGTCCAGGTCTTTGTACCACGGTGATGGTCCAAGGTAGAACCAATAAAGAAGAACACGAACACGGATATGGAATAACACAGATATATTACAAACAGGAATATATACAGAGAAGTAGAAAAAAGTGTTAGTACGAACAATCAGGTTTAGTAGTAATTGTCTGAACGCTACTATTTGGACTGTCTTTGACTCGACTGACTCGACTCGCTCGCTCTGACTTACTGACAGACTTCTGACGGACTTCACTCCAGATTTCAGGCTGAACTCTAGACTTCAGACGGAACTCTCTGCTTCCTCTTGAGGCGCAGTATTTATTACATATAGAATAGTCTATTATGTTATTATGGGTAAGGTCCCGTAACAAGGATCATAAAGATGAATTACCAAATAATCCTTTTTTTACTCTAATAAACCCAACAAAAACTGAAGTGGATATAATAAGTTAATATTGAAAAAATAAGCGACTCATTAAGAATTGCCACACAGGCTAATCAATGGAAGGACACAACTGACTGCATTTCTTAGTTCCACAGAACCACAAATAAATCAAATATTTATTTTAAATACGATATTGAAAAATTTATCAATCTATATCTGTAAAATGTCTGCTGG